GCCCTGTATAGCTATCCTTATCTCAACCAGCAAAAACCCTTGTTCCTTCCTATTATTGCTTATACTCTCTCTACAACAAAATTAGAAATAAGGGCAAAATAGTTTCTGCTGGGTATTGCGGGGAGGGGGGGGGAGAGGGAGGGGGCGGGGTGGATGGTAAGGGAGGGGGTGGGGGCAGGGGGGAGAAATGAACCAAGCCTTGTATGCACATATGAATAATAAAAGAAAAAGGAAAACAAAACAAAACAAAAAAAAACAAAAAAGGGCTAGTGGAGTGGCTCAAGGTGAAGGTCCTGAGTTCAAAACCCCAGTACGGTGGCCTTAAAAATGCTTCTGGAAGGAGGGTTAGCACTTCCATGCTCATACACACACCTGAACCATAATTTTCCCTCTTTCCTCCTAAAACAATACTGCTGAGGGTAGCCACTACCCAGCAGCCCTTTGTGAGGGCTGAAAGGCCTCTGCTCACAGCACAGGCCTTCTGCTGTGCTTAGAGTCCAGCCCCTTAACCCCTTTATTAATGGACAGTTCTGTCTCTGAGACCGGCTAGAAACGTCTGCTCAGAATCACCCTCACTCCTGACCCCAGCTCCTGCTTCTAACAAATAGTAAACAAACAGGACAGGGTATAAAGAGGGGTGCCTTCCAAAAAGTGGTTACACTGAGCGTTTTCATGAGTTGATATCAGAGCTGGCCTGGAGATCTTTGCTGCAGCACAGAAAGGGGCAGAGAGCCTGGAGGCAGAGACACCCATGTGGGGACCAGGTCCCACTTTATCTGTGGGACTCCTGGACAAGGAAGGCACTTCACTTCTCTGAGCTCTGGTTTTCTCACTGGCAAAATAGCGGTAAGAATATCTACCTTGTGAGGCTGTATTGAGGATTAGAGATGATGCCATTAAGCCCTTGGTTTTTAGAATCTGTTATTATCAAAACATACGTCTATCTCCTCACTGATTCAAAGAAGGGGTGAAGTGCCCACTACTTCCTCCTCTTTCACACCTGTGGAAAAGGACCAATCAGATCCAACTCATCCCTGAGGTCAGTTCCAGAAAACTTGGTTCCCAGCCTCCTCCGACCCTGAATACAAGGTTCAAATATTAGAACTCAAAATACAACCTTCCAGGAATTCTAACAAGCATGCCAATTAATCCTAAGAGGCCTAGGAAGACCATAAATGTGGCCACTGCTGCACGTCAGGTTACCTTGGGCCCAAACAGAGACTTTTACAAAGTCAATGACAGCAAAAATGCCTGACAAGTGCTCTCATGAAGAACTGAATGAACTGAAAGATAGGAACTACATCTACACTTCAGTATTTACTTTTTGCTCTGAAATTTTTTAATTTAAATTCCAAATACATAAAGATATGAATTATAAAATTCTTTCTTCAAGAAAAAAGGGAAAGATTCTCATTCCTCCATTAATTATTTCTGTTATAAAAGGTCAATGTGAATGAAACAACTCACTCCTAAACAGAAGGAAATTTAGAAAGTACCTGGAGACAAATGAAAACAAAAGCACAACACAGCAACACCAAAGGACAGGTGAAAGCCACATTGAGAGGGAAGTTTACGGTGGCAAATGCCTACATAAAAAGAAGGAAGGTCTCAAATCTACCATCTTTATGTTTCAAGGAACTAGAAAAAGAAGAACAAATGAGACCAAAAGATAGCAGAAGTAAGGAACTAAATAAGGTAAGGATAGAGATAAATGAAACAGCAAAAAAAACAATAGAAAACAAATTAGCAAAACCAAGAACTATTTTTTTTAAAGATCAACAAAAATTGAAAACCCTTTAGATAGACTAGCAAAAGAAAAAAGAGCTTTAAATAATTCAAATTAGAAAGAGGGGATATTAGAACTGGTGTCACAGAAAGAGAACACTGAATAGTTTTATGCTAACAAACTGTTGAGACCAGAAGAAACGAAGTCCTAGAAACACACAGCCTAACAAGACTGAATCATAAAGAAATAAAAATATGAACAGACCTGTAACTAGCAAGGAAACTGAAGCAATAATAAAAAATCTCCCAACAAGCCAGACATGATGCCTCATGCCTGTAATCCTAGTTACTCAGGAGGTAGAGATTGGGAGGATTGTGGTTTGAGACCAACCCAAGCAAAAAGTCCTTGAGACCCCATTTAACCAATAAAAGATCTAAAAATAACACCTAAAACTGTAAAACTACTAAAAGAAAATGCAGGGGAAAGCTTCAGGAGATTGGATTGAATAATGATTTCTTGATATGACACTAAAAGCAAAAGTAATCTGTACAATACATTGTTATTTGTGTATTCTTAAAAACTTCTGCATTTCAGAATGAAAGAGTAATTGTGGGAATGCAGACAATATTTGTAAATTACATATCTGATAAGTGGTTAAAATCCAAAATAGATAAGGATCTTCTACAATATAGTGACAATAACAACAAAATAACTCAATTAAATATGGGCAAAGGTCGTGGGTAGACATTTCTCCAAAGATGACATACAAATGTCCCAAAAGCATAGGAAAAGATGCTCTACTTCACTAGTCATAAGAGAAATACAAGTCAGAATTGTAATGAGGTGTCACCTCACCCCCATTAGCATGGCACTACCAACAGAAAAGATGGCCATGGTGGCACACACTTGTAATCCAAGCACTTGGGAGCTTAAGGCAGGAGATTCACAAGTTAAAGGCCAGCCTTGGTTACATAGCAAGATCTTGTCTCAAAAACTAAAGAATAGAAAACAACAAATGTTGAGGATCAGCAAAGCTGAAACCCTTGTGTATGGTTGATGGTAATAAGTAGTAGTCTTTATGGAAAACAGTATGGAGGTTTCGCAAACTATTAAAAATAGAGTGACTACATGATCCAGCAATCACACTGTAGGGTATATCCCCAAAATAATTGAAATAAAGTCCTTAAAGATGTATTTGTAGACCCATGATCATACTAGTATTATTCACAGTAGCTAAGACACGGAAGCAACTCAGTATCCATCAGTGGATGTATGGATAAATAAAATGTGCTATGTACACATGCATGTAAGTGTTACACACTTACAACATTGATGAGCCTTGGGACATTGTGCTAAGCAAAAGCAGCCAGTTATGAGAGGACAAGCATACAGAACTCCTCTTACGTGAAGTATCTGAATCACAGAAACAGAAAGGATAGAGGTGGTAGCCAAGGGCAGTGGGGGGTGGGGAGGAGAATTACTGTGCAATGAGTTTAGGGTTTCAGTTTTGCAAGGAGAAAGCTCTAGAGAGCTGTTGAACAACACGAATATACGTAACGCCACTCGGCTGTACTCTCAAGATGGCTAACATGGCAAATTTAATGTTAGGCGTTTTTACCACAATAAAAATAACAGATGGAAACCTGAATCTTAAAGAAAAAGCCAAACTTGTTAATCTTATAGCTAGATGTTGCCGGTTAGAGCCCAAAAATGTCATTTTGTGTTGGTTATAAATACAAATAATTCAAACGAGTATTCAATCATTTTTACAGATATAAAATGAGGCCAAGTACTGTGTTTTCAAGTTCGTAAGAGCACTGCAAAACCAATTTTCTTAAAATTCCAAAAAGTACACGCAGAAGAGTCTATGTGATGAACGCCAGGAGACTCTGCCTAGCAAGGACAGGCCATTCTGCATACACTCTATATCTGTAAAAGACGTCATAGCTTTGTTTTGTATCCCGTCACCTTTGGCCTGGTTAAGACTTCCAATGAATTTGCAATTAGGCTACTCATTCCTCATCTCACTGACCCCAAACTCAACACACTATAGCTGCCACTCAAGAATGAACCTAAAGGTGGACACCAGAATCATGCAGAAAAGTTCTTCACTATGTACATGTTTTCTCTCAAGTACCCAACCCACAATGCTCGAGGGAAGGCCTGGAGGATGTGCCATGGGCCCCCATAAAGGCAAAGCTCTGACCCGCCCCTCTCCTTGCTGGTGGAGCACCCTGTGTCCCCACTCCTGGATCTGTGAGTGATAAAATGCTTCCGAGCTGAGTCACCTCTGTATCTCACCTGTTGGGTGACCTAACTTCCTTCTGGGTCAGGGTTGTCCTAGAGAATGGCTATGTTGGTCAGGGTAAAAAATGGACACAGGTCAGACAAGAGTCACAACAGCATCTGCCAGTCTAAACAAGTTTCCTGTGAGAGGGACGGGGTGGGACACAGGCCATCAGACCTCTCTAAGATAAGGAAGTACCCCATAAAAGGCACATGGTAAACACCCACCACCCTGAGTCCATATGGGGCAGCTGGTTTGGTACCACCTTCTGGAGTGAGGCCTCAAGACTGAATTAGAGGAAAGAGAAGCAAACTGAAGACGGCTGGCGTCAGATGAAGCCCTGACCTCTCCAAGCCCACAGGTGCCCTCAGAACACCACGAAGCCCATGCTCCAAGTCCCCAGTGTTGTGAAGACCATCAGGATTTTAATCAACTCCACAAGTTCTGCTGCATTCTTGAGACACGCCCAGGAGGTAGAGATGCAGAGGAATTTCTTCAAGGCCATCTGTATTCTGCCACCATCAGTCTAAGAATTTCTACTGGCTATAAGATATAACATTTTAATATGACAATTATGTAACATCGTTGAAAAGTGGGGACCAAAGTATGACTTGTGACAGCAGCATCAACATCTAGAGCCCTACTTTTAGGGACAATTTATAAGTACAAGCTTACCCAAATCTGACAGACAGAAATTCACGGTTGCTATGGCAATCTATGTATGCACACGGGAACAACATGCGTGTTTTTCTCTAGGCCATGTTCCCATTTGTTTTTTATAAAGAGAACTTTAAGTGAAAATGCAAAACAGCACATTGTGGTTTTAGTCAAAGAGATTTCACAGACAATTCAGTTAAATGTAAAACAAGAATAATAATAAATTTATAGAGTTCTTGAGACAGCAACACATCAAAGGTTAGGCTTCTGCAAGCTTTAGCCTCCACCAGAGAGCTGCTGTGAGTCCACGTGGTGCTTCCAGGGACCTACCTTTTGGCTGCCGGCACAGCGATTTCTTTCCTGGACCCAGACGGGGATGGCAGGGAGCCACTGGGTTTCTTTGGTAACACAGTGCCATTGTTGACAGTGGTTCTTAAAGGCAGGGTCTGCACCAGTGGTCTTGCTGGAAGACAAGCACAGGAGGAAATCAGATCTGCCCCTTCATAATGGCAACATTTTGCAGAATCTAAGCTATGCAGAAAGGAAGGGGATGTTGATTTTTTTTGGGGGGGTGGTAGTGGGGATTAAACTTAGGGCCACATAATTGCTAGGCAAGCACTCTTACCACTTGAGCCACATCCCCAGCCCTTTTGAGTTTTAGTTATTTTTCAGATAGAGTCACATGTTTTTGTGCAGACTATGATCCTCCTATGTCTCCTGTGTATACAACTGAGATCACAGACATGAGTCAGCATACTCGGCTTGTTGGATGAAATGACATTTCATTAACTTTTAGCAAGGGCTGGCCTCAAACTATGATCCTCCCAATCTCCATCTCCCAGGTATCTGGGATTATAGCTGTGTGCCACCACATGCAGCCTGGTGATGAGTTTTTAGACACAAACCAAAAGCACAATCCATGAAAAAGAAAAAAAAAAACTGATAGCATGGACCATTTAAATCTTTGAAAATCTGCAAAAGAAACTTAAGAGGATAAAAAATACAAGTTATGGTTTGGGAGAAAATATTCGCAAATTATATCTGGTAAAGGACTTGTATAAAGAACATGAAAAAAAACTCTTAATATTCAAAATTTTAAAAATAAACAGCCCAATTTTAAAAGTGCACAAAAAGATCTGAAAAGACACATCTCCAGAGAAGATACACAGATGGCAAATGAGCATATGAAAAGATGACAACAGATGCAAATTAAAACAGTAACGAGATACCTCTGTACACCTATAGAATGCTGAAAATCCGAAACACAGACAGAATACCAATTGCTGGCCAGGATAATGAGTGACAGGAACTCTTGGTCATTGCTGGTGGGAACACAAAATGGCACAGCCACTTTGGAAAACAGTTTGGCAGTTTGTTGTAAAGCTAAATATAACCTCAGCATATGATCCAGTAATTGGGCTGACACTAGTTATTCACCCAATTGGTCTGAAAATGTATGGCCATACCAACCTGCATGCAAATATTGATAGCAGCTTTAGTCATGACTGTCAAGAACTGGAAGCAAAAGGGCTGCCTCAAGCAGTAAGAGCACCTGCCTAGCAGGCAGGCATGAGGGAGTTCAAACCCCAGTGCTGCTTAAAAAAAAAATAAAAAAAAAAAAGGAACCCAGAAAGTGGAAGCATAGGTAAATGGGTAAGCCAACTGCCCATTCACACGCTGACTGTGACTGGTTATTAAAAGGAAGGAACTGACCTCCTGGCAATGGCTGTCTGAAGTCCACTTTGCTAAGTGCAAGGAGCAAGCGTGGAAGGTTATATGTTGTGTGGCTCCATTTACAGGACAATCCAGAAAGGGTAAAGTACAGGCAGAAAAGAGATCAGGGCTGTGCTGCCAGAGGCTGGGAGAGGGGTGAGTGGATGAAGGGCTGGTAAGCTATCCCATATGACACTGTGGTTGTGGGCATGACACACTATGCATTGTCACAACTCAGACACCCCTGTGGCATGAAGAGTAAACTTTAATGTCTGCAAACACAAACCAATTAGCAGAGGGAGACCCATGAAGGAATGCAGACTGTGAGAAGGATTTTAACTGTATCACAAGTGGGTAACACCTCTCCCTGAATGGGTGAGAGAGGTGCTGACCTAAGTAACTGAGAGTCATTAGGACTGTAAAGCAACACAAAAGACTGCCCAGCGAGTGCTGTGCCCTGGTTGGCAAAGCTGCCTCCCACAAGGTATGGCTGGAGCCATGAGGTAAAGGGAAGGAGAGGGACAGGGGTCCTAAATAAGTGGGGGACAGGGAAGCTAGTGGAGATGAACTCAAATAACAAATACATCCCCCCAAGCCCTGGACTGAAGGGCAAGTCTAAGGGCTGCAGGAGACAATGGCCAAAACTTGAACAGAGCATTGGATTGTAGCCAAAGGACAGTGACTGTCCATGTGCTCATACTGACAGACACTAAGGACTGGATGAACCAGTGAGAGCAGAATGGACAATCCCCAGGCAGATGAGTAACCTATGCAGATACTCTGCCCTCAGAGGTGGAGCTCCTTAAGTGTGGGTGGCTTGCTGACTTCCTTCTAAACAGGACAGATGGAGGGAGGGAGTAACTTTATAGAGAACAGCCTAACAAACACAACCTCACCTAGAGGATGGAGGTCAGTGTGGAGAATGCTAAGTCATGCCGATGGTATTTATCAGCATGTGAGGTAATGGAGTAAGAGTGGCCTTCCTCCCGAAAGCCCTTGTTCTCACTCTATCCATGAGAACATCAGGTGGGCAAACACCAAAGGTCCATGAACTACCTAACCAGTACTCCTCAAAATTGCCAAGGTCACCAAAACCAAGGACAACTGTCAGTCTAGAGGAGCCTGGGGACACAGGTTGACTAAATACACATGGAGTTGCAGATGGGTTGCTGGAACAGGAAGAGGCCACACTGGATAAACCAGGAAAGCCTGGGTAAAACTGAGTCCTTAATTAGCAGTGGTCTGTCCCTTATGACACATGTGCCTCACTACTGCAAGACCTGAGCAATAGGGGAGACAGGGTAAAGGTACCTAGCAATTGAATATACTTGCAGCTTTTCTGTAAATCTATTCTGAAAGAAAAAGGGTTGTTTTAAAATGGTAGCTGAATAGATAAATGGGACTTCATAAAACTAAAAAAACTTCTGCTCAACAAAAGAAATAGTTTCTAAACTGAAGAGAACACCCACAGACTGGAAGAAAATATTTGCCAGCTACACATCAGACAAAGGACTGATAACCAGAATATATAGGGAACTTAAAAAACTAAATTCTCCCAAAATTAATGAACCAATAAAGAAATGGGCAAGGGAACTAAACAGAACTTTCTCAAAAGAAGAAATTCAAATGGCCAAAACACACATGAAAAAATGCTCACCATCTCTCGAAATAAAGGAAATGCAAATTAAAATCACACTAAGATTCCACCTCACCCCTGTTAGAATAGCCATCATTAGCAACACCACTAACAACAGGTGTTGGCGAGGATGCGGGGAAAAAGGAACCCTCTTACACTGCTGGTGGGAATGTAAACTAGTACAACCACTCTGGAAAAAAATTGGAGGCTACTTAAAAAGCTAAACGTTGATCTACCATTTGATCCAGCAATACCACTCTTGGGGTATTGTGACACAGGTTACTCCAGAGGCACCTGCACACCCATGTTTATTGCAGCACTATTCACAATAGCCAAGTTATGGAAACAGCCAAGATGCCCCACCACTGACGAATGGATTAAGAAAATGTGGTATCTATACACAATGGAATTTTATGCACTCATAAAGAAGAACAAAATGTTATCATTTGCTGGTAAATGGATGGAATTGGAGAACATCATTCTGAGTGAGGTTAGCCTGGCCCAAAAGACCAAAAATCGTATGTTCTCCCTCATATGTGGACATTAGATCAAGGGCAAACACAACAAGGGGATTGGACTTTGATCACATGATAAAAGCGAGAGCACACAAGGAAGGTATGAGGATAGGTAAAACACCCAAAAAACTAGATAGCATTTGTTGCCCTTAACGCAGAGAAACTAAAGCAGATACTTTAAAGCAACTGAGGCCAATAGGAGAAGGGGACCAGGAACTAGAGAAAAGGTTAGTTTGAGAAGAATTAACCTAGAAGGTAACACACATGCACAGGGAATTAATGCAAGTCAACTCCCTGTATAGCTATCCTTATCTCAACCAGCAAAAACACTTGTTCCTTCCTATTATTGCTTATACTCTCTCTTCAACAAATTTAGAGATAAGGGCAAAACAGTTTCTGCCGGGTATTGAGGGGGTAGGGGGAGAGGGTGGGGGTGGGGGGGGTAAGGGAGGGAATGGGGGAAGGGGGGAGAAATGACCCAAACATTGTATGCACATATGAATAAAATAAAAATTAAAAAAAAAAAATAAAATGGTAGTTGAACTTATTTTGGTTCATCACAAAATTAAATCTGCCTCAATTTAGGCTCTTAAAAACTACCGACAACAATTCGGCACATAACACCAAGTTTTTAACCCACTGAAACTTCTCGGTGTCCACAGGTGAGAGCCAGCTCACTGCCTGTTTCAATGTAAAATAAAGAAGAGAAAGCTAGTCAGCCCACTAGCCAGCTAGCATGACCCTCCAATCTGCCTGAGCCCTTTCCTCCTCATTCCATCACCATGGGCCTGGGTGAGGGCCCGGGGCTGCCACTCTTAGGAGGACACTACACAGCTCCCACACCAGTATGTCCATCTTTTCTCGAATGTGTGGCCCACTCTCCTTGCTAATTTCACTCCCTGCCATAGTCCTCACCTCGTCTCTGCCTTCTCTTGTTGCCTCTGGTCAAGTGCAAAATACTGGTATTTGGTTAATTGTGCCCACCCCCCAATTCATGTCCACTCGGAACCTTAGAATGTGATCTTATTTGGAGTCAAGTCTTTGCAGGTGTAATAAAGGTAAGGCTGTGTTTGAGACCAAATGGATTTGGGTGGTTCCTATATCCAATAGGAAGCCTGACTCTGGAGATGTGGGAAGGGACCAAGAATCTGCATTTCTTGGTTATATATTGTTGCTTCAGGAGAACTGCTAATACCATCCTATTTAGAGTAATCTAGGGGAAGGGGTCACCTAGATACCCTCCTCTCTACTCAGTTGCTTTGAGCGGAATGGACTCCACACCTAGATCCAGAGCCCAGGCTGACCACTCTGTCCCTGGACTAGCTGCTGCTGCAGGCTGTCACGACTCCTCCCACTCTGAAAGGCTGAGGGAGAGAGCAGTTCCTGAGCCTGGAAGGAAACAGAGGCCCTGCGGGAGCAGCAGGGACACTCAGTAGAGGGACACAGCCAAGCTGAAGGACCCATAGTCTGGCCTCACTCTCCTCCTTCCTTCCAGTCCCCACCACCCAATACTAAAGAGAAGATGGAGGCTGAGGATTTTGTTGGTGTGGTCAGCCTCCAGGGCAGACGGCTGACTGGGAAGGGTCCAGAAAGAACTTA